CAGAATAAATCAGAAATGTTTTTTGGTAGAAACATTGAAAATTTTATCATCCAGTACTGGAATATAAACCTATTTGTTACTTTCTTTAGATTTAACAAATTGCAAAAACTAATAGAAGGGGTGTGGGAATATTTTCTAAACCGTCTATGTCTCGACAGGTCTATTACTGTCAAATGCTCGAATAAACTATTTCATGATATTGTCTGTGTATATTCTATAGCTTCTTATAAGAAAAAAACTGGATGAAGTCATATATAATATTATTTAGCACCTCTAAAACTATTTATTTTTTGCACCATAATTTCTCAACATTGATTAGAACATGATTTAAACTGATCGATATAGAAAGAAATAAATGGGAGAAACTCTCAACACAGTGAAGAACGGAAGAGACAACTTTAAGAACGTCTTTCACAGTGATAAAAGGACTTTCTTAAATTGTACCATATTTTCATCACTTTGGTTTTGTATATAATCGCTTATAGGTTTTGTTCATTTTTTTAAAGCCATCGTATGGCTTTAATGCTTTGGTTGGTTTAATTTCTGAAATTATTCTCATTCGCTTTTTGTTTGTGCAGCACTTGGATAATATAATGGTTAGAATCTTTTTCTTAATCTTAATTTCAGAATATATATGAAGACTTGAAATAAAAATTTTAAAAATTCAGATGGTGCTAATAACCACATATTGGAGAAATCCAAAATGTCGCTGATAATTCAATAAAATTTGCTTGAAAAATTTACTTGTTAAATTTTTGTAACTCTATAAATTTGCACATCCTAGATAGAAATTTTAGGTTTTGCTTTTAAATGAGATTGTAAACTCTAGTTAAAGCTAATTTTAGTCTAAAATTAAATTTTATATAAAGCATCGAACTAGATTTGAATTTTTTAAGATATCTTTCATAGTGATTTTTTATTATGCCTCTCACCGTCCAATAAAACGTATAAAAATAGACCAAAAGCAAGTATCTGCGTTAATCTTATTTTTTCCAAACCTTTTAGCAATTGCAAGCAACCAAATCTTGAAATATAATCTTATTGAAATCTTAAATATAATGACAATATCATATCAAGAAGAATTTTCATCCTTGATGATGAGATGGCGAGGATCGCTGTGGAAAGCTGTTCTAAAAGATGCAATAGCTTTCTATATTGTCTACTATATTATATTATTTTCACAGGTATTCGCTTAACAGAGAAATTCAGGTGATTGAGGGCCCCGTAATAAAGCGTTTCAAAAATTGGTACATAGTGGTAGAATGAGGGTGTAGGCAAACATGATGATAAAATCACAAGCAAGATAATCTGCTCGTATAACTTCAGTGCAATGACCGAATCCTTCTGGTTTTCAAAGTCAGATTTATTCCCCCTTGACAATAACGGGTGAAACAAATATGGATTCGATTAACTGCTCGGTGGAAATGAAATAAATTTCAGTGGTACTTTTTGGATGAAAAACAGAAAACCTACTTCACAGGCTGGATCAATTGGTGTGAAATTGGTTCCGGATATATTCCACTATCATTTCTCCTCGGTTTCTTCGTTGCAGTTGTTGTAGCTAGGTGGTGGGAACAGTTCAATTGGATCAGTTGGCCAGACAAAATGATGATGATGGTTTCGGCTTGTTTAGCTGGCGATAATAATCTGATCGTGCGTAAAACCATTGCGAGATGGACAAGCCTCCAGGTTGAAAAGCCAAAAAATAATTATTATAATAATTATTTTGCAATTGAAATGTTTCACCATGACTGCATTATTGCAATGATGTGAAAAAATATGTTATACACAGATTCAGTTTCTTGTAAAAGAAAAATTTTAATTATGAAGAAAACGGCAGAAATAGGCAGTCTCAGTTTTGCATTAAATAATATAAAATATTATGTTTGCCTTTGACAAGAGTAAACCTGTCATGGAGTCAAAAATCCAGGTGGATGGTGATGGCTGCTGGGGACCCACCTGTATCTTTGTCCCCAAGTGACTCTATGGTTTAAGGGTTTGATGTTCTTGACATGGCGCTCGCATCTTCCAACGCGCATAATACTCTTAGTCCGGTGGTACATGCAATAAGCATATAATCCGAATATAAAACGATTCCAAGGTTCATTAATAAAATAAGTTCGCAAGGTAGGATAATTGCTCGAAACTTATTAAAGGAAACGGCTCTCTTCACGCTCGGCGAGGTGTTAACTGTAAGCGTGGAACGTCAAAGTTTATGGAAGTTGCAGGCCCAAAAGATCACTGTCCAGACTTTTCCTAAATATCGTGTTGATATAGCTTGCTTGCCTGAGGTCTCCCTTCACCTTTATTTGGGTCTCAAACAATTGCTGAACCCGAGAAAAATACTGGTTATATCATTATAATGCTTTCGATAACTCGTTTCGAAATGGCTTAGCCTTGTCATATCTGAAAAATCTCGGGGCGCTTTGATTGAGTGGAACTAGTAAATGACCGTATGGCCTATGTTCGCTTAAAAGGTAAGTTTTGCAATATCTCAGTCTATGCTCCGAATTTGTCGACAGGTGACCATGATAAAAATAAGTTCTATGTAGAACTTCAACTGCTAACAAAGTCTCTACCGAAACATGACATGGCCATAATCGGGGGAGAGTGGAATGCGCGCGTAAGTCACAATGCCGCTGTGATGACCTCGACAATTGGCAAATATGGCATCGGAAACCGATGCGCCAATGAGAAATATTTTCTTCACTATGTCGAAGAATATGAACTTATCTAGTAGCTTGGAACTCCTCAGATAACCAAGACTTCAACTAGATTAATTACATCTTAGTTAGTCGCTTTTTGGAAGAGTTCTGTATTAATCGTTCCTATCGTGGTGTTGAAATGGATCCCTGTTATGGTTCGACCCAAGATCCGCATAAAATTGACAACTCGCAAAAAACAACATCCCCCAAGATCCTTCAACTATCTCAAATTAAAAAATTCAAAGGCAATGAGCGCATTTCAAACCGAATTATTGAAGCACCTCAGTGGTATAAATATCAATGACTTTTCTGAACCGGCAAATGAATACTGGTCCAAACTAAAGGAATATCTCCAAAATTCAGCCATTTCCACGCTAGAGCATACTAGTAGGAAGTGCACTAGTTGGGTATCAGAAGCAACTGTCCAACTGTTTGAAAAAGCTGCCAAAGCAGGAATGTCAAATGATCCTGACCACCTGATGCTTCGAAGATTTGCAACGAAAGCAGCACGACGGAACAGAAGTCACTATTAGAGTGACATGACCTTGATAATAAAGACGACTGCTCGATTAGGCGTTAATGGGAAACTAATCCGCTTTTTTCAAAAAGTAACTATAACTCGAAGAATGATCAGTGAAACGGTAAGGGATAGCAATGGTATGCCTGTTAAAAGCATAAATAATATATAAAAGTATTATTGCTTCATAAGATGGAACGAATTTTTGAGGCCAAACTTAACCATAATGCACCATTTGTTGACAACCTGGCCATAGCTGATACTTTCGTTGAACCATACGTTTGCAATTGCGAACCGTCAACAAAAGAAGAAATAATTACTCCGTTATTCATAAGCTCAAAGCTAATAAGACTCCGGGAAACGGTTTTCTAAACATTTCAACTATTAAAATGTTTTAACGTTTTCCATCGTCCTTTATAACGTACCTTCAACAAATGTACTTTCTGATATGCAAGAAAGAAATATTACCAGATGACTGCAGCAAAGCAATTCTGCTTCCAATTCCTATGAAAGGTGAAGGGACGTACTACGACAATTACGAGGGATCAGCCTAATAGTCATCTCAGAAAATTTTCGCTTTTTTTTCCCTTAATAGACCTATGGCAGTACGGAACAGTAGGATGCGCCCTAATTAAGCTAAAGATTCAGGCCGGGTCGCGATGGTGTTGATACGCTAAGAAGAGTACTGGAACATCGCTTCAAATCTCTGCAACCCCTGTTAGGTATTTCATCGACTTTTGTGGCTGCTTCGATCCAGTTGATAGAAGAGCGCTTTGGAGGATGACAGAGGTGTTCCAGTCATTAACGCATTTTATCAGCGCAGGTCTACGTATATGGGAAACTAACAGACTCCTTGGGAATAAAAACTACGTCTTTTAACCTATAATATTCAACTAAGCGATAGACTAGATAATATACATCGCTTGTCAGTATCCAAGAGGTGTGCAAATCAGTCCAGATCATAGTGTTACAGACCTTGAATATAGTCCTGATGATATGGTCCTTTTTGTTGTTATTATAATGAAATGCAAATAATGCTAAATAATATGTCAACAACAGCAGCGAGAATCGGACTCAGGATGTAAATAAAACGAAAGCCTTTTCGTTTTATATATAAGAAGCTGATGATATGCCTCTTTTTATGTCGGCTGAGAAAGTGCCCAATTTTAAATACGTTGTTTCCACTCTAATAGTCAGGCAAAATTACGCCCGGATAAATACAGCTAAAAATACGTTCTTCCGGTTAAAGAAATCTTTATGGAGTCGTCGCGAAAGCACCATAAAAACGAAATCAATATTGCTAAATCCGTATCTATATAGTGATTCGTTGATCTTCCTATATGGCTGTGAGATATGGGCAGTGAGAATGGAGGAAATTATCTGCCTCTGACCCATTCTTGTCTAAGGTACATTTTACGAGTTCTTCGAGTGGATAAAATCTCACATGTTCGCATCCACTTTCATTGAAATATCACGTGTATTAATAATGTTATCACAAAGCTTTGCCTTCGCTGGTTAGGGCACATTCTCCATCATCTACCACAGGAGTTGACTCATATTTCGTCCGTGTAATGAATGCCGTCAAAAACGAGGAGCTCGAATCGAGACCTAGACTGATACTGTCAGGAAAGACTTAGAAGATGGAAAAAGGAATGGCTTTTATTACTGTCGACGATGGCCTCAAACCGCACCGCTTGGAAACGCCTTACCCTTGTAGCCAATGGAGTCAGCCTAATCACTATTGGTGAAAGCTGTTAGAAAAAGAATTTTGCATTAAGATGCTCTTGTTTGAAATACAGGTTATCAAACCCGGCCGGCTAATTACAATCTATCCCGGCCAAGCATTCCCGTTTAGACATATGGAACAATTTAACAGCAAATTTGATGCATTTTTGTTAGTACATTAATGGCAATTAATATAAGTAATAAAAATTTTAGGCAGCGATCGCATGGTCAGGTGTATCAGTTCGTACATTAAAGCGATTTCCAACAGAAAGGCATTTAGTTGAGACAAATTTAATGACGGAAGAAGAATATTCACTCTACATGTCTATGGATGCTCCTCATGGAAAATGGTGCAACACAAGTTTAATATGGGCCTAAAATTTGGGAGATCTTCTATAATCTATAATAATCTTCCATGAATGTATATCTGGGGAAAAGCGCAATTGCTATTCAATTATACATATTACACATGCATCTTCAAAATGCTCTCAAATTCCATTACATCACCTACTCTTCCAAAAACATATGGCCAACTGCGGATAAGAAACGAAGTCAGAAATAAAGAAACTGCGGTCCTCTCTTTACTCTCATAAAAATCCCTCACATATCCTTCTCTCGTGATGGTTCTTTATTCTATCTTGAGACTCCGCTAAGCTTACTCAGCAACTTCTCAATTCTGCTATACCTATTTCCTCAAAACTTCCCAGAAACTCTTTTTTATTCTTTTAATCTCTTCAAGTTCACATGCTGCCTTGTTGCCACGAGAAACCGCTCCATACTCACCTAAACACTTTAATCTAAACAATTTTTGCGATAATCCACTGCATTCTTTTGCCATAATCGATTAATAACAACTTTCCTACCAGTTCGATTATGTTACATTGCATTCTTTTGGCCACTAGCTGTAAAGCTTAAAGGAGACTTTGATATAGATTTTTGGCAATAAAGTGGTATAACTTGAATATGGAAGAGGTATTAAGGGGAAATTATGGGAAATGAAAAAGAATATGAAAACGATGCAATATAAGGGGACTAAATCGAGTATCGAGAGTTTATGAAGAAGCATAAGCATAAGAGCTTGGCTGCAGTTTTCTCCGCTTGCATAACTATCTTTTTACTAGTATGAAAATGATTGTTTATTGTGTATTAGGCAAAATATATCACGGATTTAATCTCATGTCTGATCCACCGGTTTCTCCTTATATTCACAGATAACTGACAAATTTCAGGTTTGTGCCTATTATGTGGATCATAAATTTAATAAAAACGATGCATAGGCAGAAACGAATTGATTCAGTTCATTTTGATATGATAATGCGACAAATCTATTTATTTCGAGATGGATTTGCCATGCTTTTTGTTTATGACTGGATTAAGATTCCACTAGTTTATACGCAGGTGAGTTTATTTGGACCAGCATAAAAAAAAATAAATATGGGCAGCTGAAATTCATGTGCATAAGCACTGTTTACGCATAAATCCAATAAATCTCTTCTTTCTTTCCTAATAATACCTGTTTCTGATTCGACTGGCACACTGGTCAAACTAAAATCAAACTTTTTCACCAATACAAATTAATCTCTAGCATATAAATCATTTTAAAAAAAACCTTAATACCTAATCAAGGATAATAATAAGGATAATAATAAATAAGGATAATTGTTGATAAATTTGTGCAAAAATCTAAAAAAATATCTGCAAAGATTTAGTTAATGTACGCTTCATAAAATTGATGCTTTTTAGTCACTGCGCCCAAGGCTTGATTTGAATTTTTATGCACATTAAAAGCTGATGAATAATATACATTAAGGTCGTCGCGATTGCAACATACGGCTATTTCGTAATTTGCTTGATTGGTCGACAGCCGAAATTGGATCAACGATCTATGGAAAAAGAAATCACTATACTTTTTCCAATTTTCACAACCTTTCAAATACTTTTTTACATTGGTTGGTTAAAAGTCGGTCAGTATCTAATGAACCCATTCGGTGAAGACGATGATGACTTTGGTAAATATTCATGGTTTTTTGTCATTTAAAATTTTTTTTTTAAAGAGTGCTTACTATTTTTGGTTAGGCTCGCTCTGCCGGCTTTGAGAAAACAAATTTTTGTTAGGGAGTTATTTGGAAGTACAGGTGAATCCCAAGCACTTAACCTAGATTTTTGAAAGATAGCCAATAATAGAACCCCAGTATCAAAATTAGAGCAATTGACTGAATCATTTTACTTCCCTTTTTAAATCATTAGTGAAACAGACTGTTATTACGATGAGAAATTTTTTCCAGAGAGACAATTAAGGAAAAAAGTATAAACGGCTCTCCAGCGTCACTCAGATTTTTTAATGACAAAATTTTCTTTTCAGAGTCTTAAAGTTAAAAAAGGGACATAAAAAAGCAAACTCAAAATTCTTTTTCAGAATTAAACTATGTGCTTGATAGAAATACATGCATTGCAAATATGATAGCCACAGATTTAGCGGATCAGCTCCCATCGATCTCAAAACAAACTATAAATATTACACTCCCGCATACCAGAGCATCGTTCAAAATCCAGGTTAAAATCCTCCTACGAATTTATTTTATTGCGTAAATTTGCTGCATAGATCTGCGCCACTCTTTTAAATAATAGATTGCAATTTGCAGAATGTATAGGACCAGACGAATTTTTTTTTGGTGAGAAATAAAAAATAGTCATCGTCTCTTACTCGCGCATTTTTATCATTTTCATCATCACTATCATTCTTTCCTATCACATTGAATGATTAAATAAGCTGATTCAATAATTCGGCATTGAATCGAATTTGTTAATAAATTTTTTTCAAATTTACTGAAATTTACACGCTATGCTTAGTGAGTGAAAAGAATTCTTATATTTTATGCCGATAAGATTTTGCACAAAATATAATATCGAAGGCGATAAGATAAAACATTAATCTGCTCTTCATAAATCTGTCTATATATGTATATCCATATATCAAAGGTTTTTTCAGAAATGTAAATTTTTCTATAATTTTTCTTATAACCTGATTCTGAAATTATCGTGGTTCGAATTCTGCTCCTCACTGGAATAAAACTAAAAACCAAAGTAGTGGGAGGTCATCTATATTTTTACCTCTAGAGAAATTGATTCTTCTCACAACCAATGTAGCAAGCATAACCAGAAATAGGAAGTACCACTCGCTTACTTACTTTAGACATATTGTGCCATATGACCTGTGGTGAACATTTCTTGGTACTGAATGTTAAACATTTTGTAAAATTTTTATGACAGACTCAAGAACAAATTTTTTTTACTGGAAACTTTATAACAAGGTTCAAAATGAGTTAATTCGCAGTTGTGTTGCAAAATTTATGCCTATTAATATGTTGCATATTTATGCCTATTAATATGATTATATGATTTAATAATCTTCATTGTCGAGAAGGTTTTGTAATTATTGATGAGCTAAGCGTTTTGCTGCCAAAAGTTATACTTTTACAAAAAATTTTATGTTGAAAGAAAAATCATGGTAGCAATAGAGTACTTCTATTCACCTATACTTCTGTCCCGATCTGACTCATTGGCAGAAGAATTTCGAGAAAATAAGTTGGTGAAGCCAGAAAAAGATTTTAAAAAAGAAAATATTGCGTCGCATATTTATTTATCGGTGTTGATAAGCGAACAGCAATCAAAATGAAAGCTTCTATCATATCCAAAGCATTATTTATTTGTAATTCGAATTTTCCATCATTTCACATTTCGCTTAGATTTGATGCAGATTGTATTCAACAATAATTAAATATAGTCACAAATAATTCATTTAGGATGTAATTCCAAGAAGTCATTTGTCGAATCTAAAACTCTCTGAAAATGAGATGGAATTAATAAAACCAGAAGAATTAGAAGAAAGCAGTGATATTGTCCAGAAAAAAAATGCAAGATTACGTTCCATTGTTCGAGGAATTCAAAATAGTACAAAACTGTTCGTTTTTTTAACTTTTTAAAATTTCTAAATAGAAAGCACAAGTTCATAATTCACCAACTGGGAAATAATTGGGTAAATTTTGTTAATTTGAATCAAAAATCGGTGAATAATTCTTTAAAAAACAGTATACAATATACAGCATATCACAATAAGAATATGTAGTTCTTCTATCATCGAAATCAATTATTTTTTAAACCGATAGGTACATCTAGATACAATAGAAAAAAGCAATTTTTACGTACCAGTTAAAGGAGAGGATGCCTAGTGGATACTGATTTAGACTGTCGTTTTGAGATGCAGCTCCATTTTCATCAGAAATAAATGTATTATTGAAAAATCTGTGTGGTAGTAGTTATCTGTTTATTTCTATTATCAAATGATTCCCTAACAAAAATTTTGTAGTAACCGTAACAACAATAATCGTACTAATAACTAGTCTAACCAAAAATGGTGTCCGTATCCATTAAATAAATAGAAAAGAACTAAAATAAATTGAATTTAAGATTGCGAAGAAACAGTGACGATCTGTGAAGTGTTGAACACAATGAATAATGAAAATGAAATAGTTTATAAAATTATCAATATAATAAAGCGATAAAAATTTGTATCATTTAAAAAATTTTAAATTTTGAATTTGGCGCAAATTAGGCGGATGAATAATACCTGAAAAATTAACTAAGTAACAATAATTATAATCAAAATTATTTCGGATGTTTTCGAGTAAATAATTATTCCATACAAAAAATGATATTCATATAATCGTGGAAATTGAAAAATACATAAAACCAAACATAATTAACATATTTACTGTATTTTTTAATAAGAATGTTTAATTCTTCAAATTTTAATCACGATGAGTATTGCTATTTTTTCAAAATGCAAGTATCGAAATATGAAAGATGATAAATTCAACAATAAAATTGGAAAGTTATTGCATAAATTAAAATACGAATAAATTTTTCAGCATAAGCTTTTTCCTAAAATTTCCCCATATATCGGAAAAACCGTTACAGTCATGAAAAGGAGACAACTACCAAGCACGGCCATTCTTTCTTGTGCAGATATACTATCACTGGAATTAAATGTATTTTATTCACTTTATTATGTCGTTCATTTTACGAAAAAGAAGAATTTAACTGTGGCCTAAAGTTAAATTGATTTTCAAAAAACGTGCATTTAGGTATAAAAAAGTAAAACCTAAATTGTAAAACAACCGATTCAGCCTTCGTGCATAGCGATGGCCTCATAAATGCTATATTCTCATTGTTCTGATTGAAAAAATCCAAAGAATAATCACTGCTTATACAATGAAAACAGCTTAATATAACTTTCAAACGGCCAAATATCTACAAATAACCAAAATTTGTATGTGTTATCATAATCTGAAATAAAATCAGTGATCATGTATCAAACCGCAAAGAGCAAAAAATATATTTCTGCCTTATCTGCTACTAGATTTTCTCTTACAGATTGAAAAAAAGAGATAAATGAAGCAAAGCATTAACAAGCAAACAGTGCTGTGATGAGAAAGTATAAATGGAGAAGTAGAAGTACATAAATTTGATAAAAGAATAAGGAGAACGAAAGATAATGATGTTAACCTAGTTTGATCAGATATGGTGAAAGAATTGAAAAAACATACCTCAATTAGAGGAGTATTAACAAATCTGATGTAGGTTCCCCCATTCTTCATAATTTTCCATCCATTACCAATGGAAAGGCCATCTTCGATTTCGATCTAAAATCTGTCTGATATTAATGAATTAAATAAATAATTAATTGCAGAAATATAACTCACCTTATAAACCGTCGCACCAGCAGGATGCAGTATTTTGCCCATACATTTACAAGAATTCCCTAGTAGCCTTAAATCCATAATTGTTTTGCCTCGTGATGTTTTAACTGTTAATCCTAATCCTGCTATCAGTTCAGCATTAAAAAGAATTCGATTGTCCCTTTGTTTTTCTCGAACAGTGAAAACTATTGGAATGGAGTCTGAAGGCGATGCTTGTATTTCTTCACTGAAAATCATCGAAATTATAGATCTATATTCTTCTTTGGAATAAATTTTACGAACCAAATCATTAATTATCACTAATTACCACTTATTACAACCCGGAACAGGTAACTAGAAATGCGTCCTTTCTGTTACTCCCTTTATGGAGCCGTTGTGAAATTACCATAAAAACGAAAATAGGCACCTATCTAGCCGTGATTCGTTCGATTTTGCTATATAGCTGTGAGACATGACCAGTGAAAGTGGAGGATATTAAGAAATTAGTTTTCCTTTGGCCACTCATATCTAAGGTACATTTTACGGGTTCTCTGAATGCATAAAATCTCACATGATCGCACCCACCTTCGTTCAAATATCACCTGTATTAATAATGCTATCACAGAGCGTCACCTTCGCTGGTTAAGGCACGTCCATCATAAGAGTTGTCGTATATTTTATTACTTACTAAACTGTGTGATGGATGAAAAGCGAGGTGCACCAATCAAGACCTGGACTGATAGGGACAGAAAATATTTTGAACGTATAGGTGGACCAGCAATATATGGATTTAGAAGATGGAAAAACGAGTGGATTCTGTTACTGGCGACGATGGTATCAGACCGCGCCGCTTGGTAGCATCTTACTCTTTTAGCCAGTAGAGCCAGCCTAACCAGTAATGGTAAGAGCTGTTAGAAGAAGAAAAAGAAGAACAACTAATTATCCGCCCATACATAAATTTCAAAAACATGGAAAAGATATTTGAATCTAGATTAGTTTTAGGTATTTCAACATCGTCTGCCAACACAATTATCATTCCTGGTTCGTTTAGCTGCATCATTAAAGAATAAAACAAAAACATTTTGACTGATAATCTTCAACAGTTTTTAGGAATTTCGACAGAAAATTTATTTACTTCCATTTTGGAGATATTTTAATTGAAATTTTGTTTAAATTATTAAATTCATCGCAAATCGGTATTGAATGATATATTTCATTTTTAGATACAGCTTGAATCGTTTTCGCAACAGTTCGTTTCATCATGTCGAAGGTACTTGATATCTTAACAATTTAAGCCATTGTAGAGGGAATTTTCGAATTTTTTAAAAAAATTTTAGTTGGAAAAGTAGTTCAGTTCCACCATTTATCTAACCATATTAGCAATAAAGATGGCAAAAATATCTAAAAAGCCGTGGTCTGACAATATGTTGATTTTTATAAAAGGTTACATAAAAAAACAAGGACGTTAAAAATATTTCAAAAAAAATTAAATTAGAATAAAGATAAGGTGGAAAAGTGAGCCTCACTTCTTTTTTTAAGCTATCGTTTCTTGGTGCACCGATTAACTTCTTAACAGTTCCACTTCCAGACATTTACGTTTTCTACTGTAGCTATAATCACTGAATTCACAAACCGATTCGAATTAATTATGGAGAAGAAAGAGTTTCCCAGAAAAATAACTTCATCTGCGCACCTGGAACTATTCCTCGATGATTAACCATGTTCACAAATTTTTTGAATAGAAAAATCTTCGCTATTTAATTAAAAATTAGTTAAAAAACAAAAAAAAACTGCAAAACAAACAAACAAGTTAAAAAGCAAGAACAAGCAAGAAATTTATTTATGAAATTTACTTTAAAATCAAAACAAAAACGAAATTGATGCCAGCAATTTTACTCTGCTGTTTCGAGAGTGAATTTTGTGTGCAAGTTCTGTTTTAACTTCATATTTTCGTCAGCAACTTTTACTCTATCGAAAAGTTCAGTAAAAGACCGTTAAATTTTTGGCCCAAAAAATTTAAAATTATAATTAATTAATTAAAATAATTAAAATTATAATTGCAGAATATTTCATAATAGATCATCCGAAAAATTCCCATAGTTCTATATTATTTATTTTGGAAATGAAAAACTCTATTGCAAATCAGAAATTTTATTTAAAACCAACATGGCAGAAAAACACGACTTTTTTAAACGTGACAAGAGTAAATTTATTCCATCTTGCTGGACAACATCCTAATGTCTCAGGAACTTTCTCCCTGAATAAGTTTTCAAAATTATGTAGATGATCATAGCCTGTTGGCGAGAGATCTGTAGAATATTTTGATACCAGGATAAACAAAATTTGCTTGTGACATGTGATAATCATATGATGAGGCCCTTTCTATTAACCAATGTTCTGCATTTTCTGGTGGATTATCTCCAGTTCGTAACTACTTCTCACCAGATTTTAAAAAACCGTGATGGATCAATTTGGCAGCCATCAAACAGTGACCACACTATTCTTCAATCCAGATTGTGGTGCAGATCGAGGAAATTCAGCGTCTCCATCCGATGCGCCAATTGCAATTAGAATTCGCTTTTCATCATAAGAAAAAATCTACTCCTAACAAGGGTATTTTGTCACACTACCAGAAAAAATAATACTAAACAAGTTTTAATCTGACGCACAATTTGTGAGATGTACATGTCTTAAACCTTTTTCCCTTTCGCTCTTCGAAAGAGGGAGACTGCACACGATATCGTGTGAAATGGCGTTTTTCAGGCAAATTTACTTAGGTCCTCCTTGGATTAGCCTTTACCATAGCTTCCAGCAGATTTGCTATAAAAATAGAGAGCCAACCGTCACTTCGAGCATCTCCGGCCCTCTATTTGCATTTTTCGAATTACCACCTTTGCTTTAAATTTAATTTCAGTTTTTGTTCATAACCTTTCATGTCCATCTCAGAGAGCCAAATTTTGATGACTAAAAGGCGCGAAAAAAAACGAAGCAAAATTTATTAAAACTGAATGCGAAAAATGCAAAGTCACAGCTAAAAATATGCAATCCTAAAGCCAAATATCATTCAAAAAATGTGGAAATTCTTCGAATAAGCTGATAAAGTTTTCAAAAAATTTTTTCAATCGCTCGTTTCCCTTTAAAAATTTTATTTTTAAAATATTTGAACCTTATGTTACTAATGTAATTTATTAACTTGTCAATCTGATTAAGCAAAAAAAAAACCTATTCGGTATTCTCCTAATTCCGCTATATTTTGTGAAGAGCTTTTCCAATTCTTATTGACGATCCTCTTAATACTGCAGAATTCCTGTTATATCTTGTGAACCCCATTATCCCAAATATCCATATACTCTCCATAGCTCAAAAACCTTCTTAGCCCACTTAAATATTCCAATAAATCGAGCCGATAATGATTGCCTACGTAAACGAACAGAAATACCTGTTTAACGAAAAGTCCAAAATTTTTGCCCACCATTTGACATCATTTTAGCCTTTTCTTCTAATATCTCCTTAGATGTTATACGATTTTTACCATATATTATTAAAGAACCTTTTTTTGCTTTCTTTCTCAAACCAGGTAATAATCTTCTTAATACTCCCACAGATCCCTTAACAACCTTCATTTTTACAACATTCGCAGCTACAAATTACAAAATCCAACACGTAATGCGATGGTGATATAGGATATTACGTGAGTAAAGGTGAACTAGAGGGGAAGAGGAAAAAGATATTAAGCGCGTTATTCTGGCGAGTAGGAAAATACTGCAGAAGGATTCAGAAGGGATGTCGAAGAAACATAGGAGATTTCAAGTGAAATAAACGAGTCTAAAGACTAAAGTATCTTTATTAGTTGTTAAAATTTTTCTTAAATCAGACGAACAAACAAAAATAAATTTATATTAATTTTAACTTAAAATAATTTTAAATATTGTGATTCCACGTTTTCGGAATAATTCAGAATAAATGAAATAAAAAGATGTCATGATACCTGTCACTGAATTTGCATATAATGACCCAAAAGGATTGTGTTTGGTATGAAGCTAACAGTAAAGAAGAAATTTTCTGAAAATAACGCCGATAAGTTAAATTTCAATAAAGTGATCAAAAATAAACAATAAAAATCACAAATCAGATTTCTTCGGTGAATTAATAAATGAATATAAGTAAATAAAGCAAGTGCTTAGTGTTCTGTTTTTCTGGTTAGGCTAGCTCCATTCGCCCCTACTTCGATTATAAATTTTTGCCAGGGAGAGAGAAGTATGATAGAAGTACAGCCAGTCGTCAACACCATCACCGGTGATGGATTTTTTAATGCTAAGTTTACTCCTGTCCGGCGACTCCTTTTTCTCACATCCCAGTCTAAACCATTACCTAACATCACAATAAAGGATTTTTAATTTTTTCAGTTTAGAACAACTTATAATACAAAGCAGTAATTGAGTGCGAATAAATAATAAGATATTTTATGCAACAATCAACGTTTGCTAGTGATTCTTTTTTACACGTACGTAATATACGAGAAACAAATGGAATGTACGAAAAATTTATACAAATACCAATTTATATGTATTCGTCGATCGATCAATTGTTATTCGATGCTCACATGATCGAATGTTATTTACATTGGCTTTAAGTGTGCATAATTTCACCTTTTTTCAAGGTTTGCAACGTTTGCATATTCGGCTTGCCATTTCATTTCATATAGAAAGGAGTCTGTCTTAGTCTTATTCCCTTGCCTATATAATGAATGAATAGAAAAGTGAATTTTAAAACAACTTACGTACAAAGGAATAAGAAAAATACTAAAATGCATGAAATCTGGTCGACTTCTGTGTGACGTTAGGTGAAACTAAGGTCTTTTTATCAATTTTTATTATAAAATGGTCTGGACGTAATTATTGAAAGAGAAAAGACAAAATAAAGACAAGACAAGACAAGATTGTGAAGTATTTTTTTCATAATTCTCAGTCCGAAAATTTCGATTTGTTTGGCTCTGTTCGCTTGAATTCTGAATGCAAATTGAAAAATTTTATGAAAAAATGAAATATGAAAAGTCGATGAAGAGATCTGACAGTTGATTGTGAGAAGTCAGTGCCTAGGCCTGTGAATTTCATAAACATGTTAATTTTCGATATATCCGATCCACAGAAGTTGGTGATTGATAAATTGATAACCCTTTCCTTTATAGAAGCTTCAACAAAACGCTATAACCAAATGTGCTCAAAAATGAGCAGGATCGATGAAGACCAACAAAAGCG